CTTCCAAATGGAATCTCCAAAGCCAGATACCTCACCTCAGTGTTCAACACAAGGTGAGAAAGTAGCAAAGGCATAGGTACAGATAAAGAATGAAGCCACAACTGACCCTGGGTTAATCATTACCATGATCAGCTAATTCTGTCAATGAACTCACTAAGAATCACCAGTCCACTCAAAAGGCAAACAGTTAACTGTTCCTGGCATGACCGCAGGACAAAGAGTAGCTGCCAGATATTCAGGCCAGCTCTGCTGACTAGGTCAGGTCACTTAGTATCCTGCTTTGTAGCTAATAATAATGAAATCCCCATCCTTCCCCCTTATACGGTATATCATCAGCCCTGCCCACTCCCAACAGCTCTACCCAATAACAGTTCTGATTGATTCTAAATGAAGGTTTTGCTCCCTAGGGCTACCAGAGCTAGACTGGACTTTAAGAAAGACTGTTATGGGGAAGGGGGCAGGGAGCAGGGATGAGATGAATTGTCCAAAAGGGCAGGGGTTGAACAGGTATTAATCCAAGTCTGACTAAGAAATCCAGGGTGCCTTTATACTGTATTGCACCATCTCCTAGTACATACGTGAATCCCATTCTATCTTTAGCTTTTCTCTTTTAAATTGCTTCTAGAAGACCATTAATTAATATTACTTGAGGTGATTTAGAGACTACAAATGTCTAAATCCTGAGTACTGAAAGTTATTTTTTTAAAACTAGGGGTGACCCTAATGATAATAGTCAATTATCAGAAATAAGAGGAGTAAGAAATTAGCTCTCAACTGTGTCCAGACCCACATTTTAAAAAATAACCACCAGCACTGAAAAAGTATTACCAGATGTGCTATGAAAGGGAAAAAAGCCCAAGATAACTATTTTTTTCATGCATGAAAGCTCAATAATGTCTATACAAATTCTTACTCAAAAATTTTAAATTTGGTGTTAAGATTGATGTGCCCCCCTCCAAAGTCAACTACAGTTCCAATCATGTCTTCTCTCATTTACTATTGTGTAATTTGAGGAAAACGAGAAATTGAATGAATACAGTTAAGTACCAAGATTTCCAGTGATTATGGGACTTCCCTGGTGGTCCAGTGGTTAAGACTCCACCCTTCCACTGCAGGGGCATGGGTTCAATCCCTGGGTGGGGAACTAAGATGCCACATGCCACAGCGAGGCCAAAATACAAAAACAAACAAACAACAACAAAAGATTTCCAGTGATTAATGGAATAAACTTCATTTATATCAAATTACTGAGAGGAGAATTAAAATGTTATTATATAAGGAAACCCAATGTGGACAGAAATAGCTCTACATATTCCAAAGAAGATTCAAAATAAGTTGGCTTTTGTAACCTAGTTTCCCGTCATGAGTTCCTCCATGCAAGAGTGAAGAGGGAAGGAGGTACATAATTAGAAAGAGAAGTTACTGCCGTAAAGAGCACTAATTTACCTAATGCTGACACCCAGAACCAGGAAACAGAAGATTGATGTGCAGAACCATGACTAGCACAAGTACAGACGCAGAAATCCCCCCACTGGTTTCTCCTCAAATACCAAGGACCAACTGATGACTGCACAGATGTTTGACTTACTACTCTCTGTGCCTTATCCATGTAACACAGGCCACTAAAGAACCCAATTAAAAAAAAAAAAAAAAAGCATATACGTCCATATATTCTGAAGTTCTTTGCTGCAGCAAGAATTATGGATTTCTAATTCACCAAGCAAATCACAAGAACTCCATAATACAACGCAACAAGTGACATTCAATTTTCCTCAAAAAAATAAATAAATAAAAACTAAAAATCCATCAGCTCACTTTTTAAACACCTTGACAAAAAGCCAGATGTCTCTAGAAGTTTCTCATTATTTGCTAAGTAGATAAAAACGTGATTAATGTCATAATCTTATTTCACAAACTCTTTGGGCTTGAAAGCCCAGGAGATCATTTAATTCCCCTTCTGACTCCACAGTGCCATGCCTAAATCACCAAACAATGAGAACTATCTACAGCAGAAGTTCAGCAAGAGCTAAGTGTTAGTTAACTAAGCTCTAAATCACTTGGATAAAGACAGTTTGAGAAAGAAGACTTGTATCAAATACATTTTTTACCTTCAAGTTAAGTTTAGATCCCAGACATCTATTGCACTGTCAGCTCCTTCCCATGTAGATGACCAAAGAACTGACATTCCCCAGGCTAGTGTGACCAAAAGGAGATGAAAGCTACTTACATAATTTTTGACTTCCCGTCGAGCATTAGCATCAATAGCAAGCCACCTCTGCTGGTACTGTGTCTTGATATCTGGATCTTTAGATGTCAAAGAATTCTTGATTTGTAGACCAGCTGCAACTCTGGCAACCTGACTGTTTCCTGGATTTGCCAGCACTCTGGACAGTTCCACAAGGAAAGTGGGCTGTTGAGGTGTGAATGAATAATACCTCTTAGGAATTTTACCAATTGAGAATAGCACCAAAAAACAGGGGAAAACCTAAAATTTTTAGGACATATAATATTTCGGAAAATGCCAAAATATCTACTTCAAGATTCCTATAAAAATGTTATTTGGTACATGAGGAAGTCATCCATCTTCTCACACAGACTCAGCATTTAACAAGGAGTTACAGGTTTTCCTATCAACATCAACTAAGAGTGCCCAAATCTTCACATCAGATCCCCCAGAATTAAAGTAAGCTTGACAATCTGGTAGAGGATTCTTCTTCATACCTAGAACAAAACCCGGTACTCAGTAAGTTGTATTTGTTAAATGAATATGTTATGACAGGGTAGAAAATAAAATTGTTACTTTTAAAATTTAGATTAAAAAAAATCTTGGTCCAAAAAGAATGACACCCAGGGTGGCTTTTGATCTCATGGAAGCAGGTTATAAGAGAGGGAAGTACTTCTAAATGTAAAACATAGACTTGGGAGGCTAGTGTTCTCTAGTTTACAGTGTTTCACCAAAATGATAACAGTGAAAAAAGATTTATAAGGAAAAAGTGATAACAAATATTTAGAAATAGGGGGCAACTGAAAAGATAAAAATGTCAAGGAAAATGACTTCATGTTTAATAGGCAAGAGTTAACACACTAAAGGTGTGTTATTAACAATTCCTTGAGTTGTTCCTATTCTTGAGTTGTTTAAACATTACTGTAGATTCTTGAAAAGTATACTCAATCTTTTGTACTGCTCAGGTCCCCAATTCGGTTTAAAAATTTGGTTTAAAAATTTTAACACACACTAGTCTTCCCTGAAAGAAGCTCTCTCCAGTGGAAGAGCTAACAGGAAAAACTAAAAGCAGATACTTTACCACTAACAAGTCCTCCAACCACAGTGGGTTTTATTAATTATATACCACTAAAGAATGTTAGGAATGTTGGGAATTAGATAAAATGTTAGGAATACGAGAAAAGGCTCCTTGCAAATTTAGCAAAAGAAGAAAAGAGGAATATATACCAAGTGCAAATATTATCAGTCTATACTAGTGGATAAAAATCTTTTCTATGTAAAGTTAAGGATAAAAAGATTGGTAGTAAAAACTAACACATGGAAAGCCAAAAAAACCCACAAAAAACACGAAACTCCACAAAACACAAAAAACCCAAAAACCATTCAAAGGCAGTTTGTATAAAATAAAAATACACCTTGTCACTTTTTTTTCTTGCGTTATGTTGCCTAAGTAACACAAAAGAACACATCTGGTTACAGTGAACTATTACCTTTAAAAGATGTCTAGTATCATTCACCCTTCCCTCTGCTCCCCATCCCCCCAACAGGAGGGAATCCAAAGAGAAACATTACTGGCACATAGATTGTTTCAACCAATACATCTCACAATTCTATACAGAGATCCAGTCTCTAGGAGACATAACATTCATTTGCTCTGTACCCTTTAAATTTGAAAATATGAAAAACGAGGAACTTTCCTCTGGAAACAGGCCCGATCTCAAGGATGAGCCTCACCCTGTTATCTGGGTGCAGATTTAGTCTCTACTGATCCGGGGGTCCGCGGGGGGGAAATACAAAAACCCGGGTGAGGGATACCCAGTCAAGAAAGGGAGAAACACTGCCGGAAATGGGTTAAGAGGCATTCGGGTGCAGGCCTGGCCTTGAGCACAGACCAAGGGAGACTGGAAACGGTAGAGCTCTGGGAAGTAGGCGGACAATCACAGGGGCCACGGGACAGGAAGGAGAAGCCGGCCCCGGTACGAACAAGGCGGGCGGCAGGGTTCGTAGCTTCCACATGGCCCCTAGGCCCGGCTCCCCCACCCCCACCCTTGCTGAACACGCAGCGCCGCGCAACCTAACCTCCCCTCCCTCCCTCTTTCTCCCTCCTGCTGCACCGCCGCCCTCAGGCTGCACGCCGATTGGGTGGCAGTCACCCCGGCGCGCCGCGCCATTGGCCAGATGCCGGGCCCGGGGCGGGACACACCCACCGGCTTCCCGATGGCGGGGTTAGGTTGGACGGGGGGGGAGGGGACGGGATGGGGCGGGGTGGGTTCCCGAGGCCTGGGCCTCCGGGAGGGCGGGAAGGCCCGCATGCAGGGGATGGGGAGACGGCGGGATGGCGGACGGCGGGGTGGCACGCACCAGGTTCTCCACGGCCGCACGCTCCAGGAACTTCTGCGCCGCTTCCAGTTCCAGCCGATCTGGGGGGAAGGAAAGTGGGAAAGGGGACAGGGTCAGAGGGACCAGGGCTTCCCCTCCCCCCACCCAATCACCTCAGTTCGACCCCCGGCCCCCGCGTCCTACCGGGAGACACGGTCTTCTCGAGGATGGTGATAAGCTCCATGGCGGAGGTGGTGGCGGCGACTCCTCTTAGGACGACGGCCCGGCCTCTCGGGCGGCGGCTCTAACTGGGGATGGGGGTTGGGGGTCGGGTGGGTAGGGAGGGTGGGGTGGGGGGCGGGGGTCACCACAAGCCCATTCACCGGCTCCCTCTTGGTAGTCGCTCCAGCTCCCCTTCCTTCCTCCTTTCCGTCTTTCCTCCCTCCTAATTTGCTACTGGCGGCGGCGGCAGCTGCTCCTCTGACGGCGGGGGAGGGACCCCGGGGGCAGCTCAGAGCGCGGCTGGTGCTCGGGTGGCGGAGGGAGAAAGAAGGGAAGGGAGGCTGTGAGTTAACGGCGGCTCGCAGGGAGGGAGAGAGGGGGAGGGAGGAAGGCGGAGGGATATTCGGGCCGGACCTCTCCGCGGCGGCACCGCGCTACATGTCGATTGGCTGCCGCTGTGGCCACGCGGAATCCCCAATTGGCCAGGCGGTTAGCGTTGAAGGGCCGCCCTGCGCCCATTCGCTCGCTGGTTTCAAGGCCCGGGGTTGGCTGGGCGGGCAGCAGGATGGGGGTGCGGATTGGCCGAGGGGCGGGAGATTGGGGTGAGGCCGGCCAGAGTCTGCCGCTGATTGGATTGGCCTGGTAAAGGCCGTGAGCTGAGGCTGTAGGAGCGCTGGGAGGAGGGTGGACAGAAGGTAAGACTCCGGGCCTGCTTGATTGGCTGGGATACTAGACGTTGATAGGATAGGGCACCCTAAAAAACTGGGGAGAGGAGTTTGGGGTCGGGGCCTCGGAAAGGCGGGAGGTGCCCCACCGCTTTAGAAGCCCGGCGCAGTGCACGACGGGACGCCCCCGGGAAGGGGCGGAGCCGTGTCCGGGCTGCGGTTGGGAAAGCGCAGTCACTCCGAGGGGCGTGTTGACGAGGGTTTCGCGGGCTCGAGCGGGGGAGGGGGGGACCGTTAAAACCCTGCCCCGCGCCCACAGGAAGCTGCTTTAATCGCTAGGCCTACTTGGTACCAGGCTTTCGGCTGGGAAGGACCTTGAAGACCATGCGGTTCAACTTCCAATTTGCAGATGTGGAAACTGAAGCCGAGAGAGGGTATGCACCTTATCCAAGGTTACTCAGCCGGTTAGTGGCCTTACTGGGACTGGACTCAAGCGCTCCTGACTGCTCTTGGCCTTACACGCATCTCCTTCAAGGAGGTGAATGCTAATACAGTTACTTTAGACCTATTTATAATTTGAGGCCTGTGCTGTTATAAGGTCTAACTTATGTGGTTTGGACAGTTGGATTCCTCTTACACTCCCATTCATAGCTATTAGGTACTTGAAAGAATAGAAATGTTTCATCTTGCGAACGTGGCCCTTTTATAAAGGCACAACCGTGAACTAGAAAGAATGTGTGTACAGGCATAAAGGATCGTGGTTCTTAGCCTTTTTAGTTGTAAGCCCTCAAAGAAACTAATGAAAGCTTTTCTTAGCAAAATGAACATAAAGAAAATGTGCGTACAGTTTCTTGACTTCCCCTTACATTGGTACAGGGGCTCCAGGTGAAGAATTTCCAGAATTGTTACATTTTCACCATATTGATCTAGGGTTAATTGGATGCAGCTAGCTTATAGAGCTCTTTGCCATATAGCTTCAGCTTGTGGAAAAATTGCCCTACTCTAGCCATACTGGGAAAACCTAAGAGCAACTCCTTGTTGAGAAGTTCCAACCAAGAGTTAGGAAGTTTCCTGGTGGTCTAGTGGTTAGGATTCCGCGCTTTCACTGCCGTGGCCTGGGTTCAACCCCTGGCTGGGGAACTGATATTCCACAAGCCACGCAGCGCACACACAAAAAAAGAATTAGGAAAGGTTGGCCAGCTACCTTTATTCCTTAAAGGAAGACGAGATCTTTCTCTGCCACAAATATCTAAAGCTGGAAGTGTGGGGACACCGTTCCTTACCCATCCTGTGACTAGTTGATTTCCTGTGGCTTAGCAGTCCTTTTAATCTCAGCCTTTTGCTTCATCTATCAGCTGATGAAGAACTGCCCTGTGTGTGTAACTTTATTAGGAATCAATGAAGATTGAGATGACGTCCATCAAAATCTTTGTATTGTCTTTATGAGTATTACCCATACTACAAATGATCTGCAGTTCTGTTTCACTCCAAGCCAAGTTTCTCCTGTCCTCTTATCAGTTTGCTGAGACACCTCCTCTGCTCAACATCAGTCATGATACTACCAGTGAGGGGAAATGGATTTTTAAAGTAGCTGGAATAAAATGCTGGGAAGATAAATGTTTTGCAGCAAAGTTCCAGTCAAACATAAGGTCCTTACCACAGCCAACTGAAATGATTTTTTAGTTGAGCTAAGATAGGTGCTTTGTAGTCCCTATCAAAAACAGCCAACACTGTCATGCATTCAGCTGATGCTACTGGGCGCGATAATGTGAGTGCTTAGCACTCAGATTCCAGAAACTGACTGCCTGAGTTCATAACCCAACTCTGTCACTTCTAAGCTTGTGTGATTTTCTTTGCTTTATGTAAAGTGGGGCTAATAATTGTACCTGCCTCATACACAACTTTTAGGAGGTCTTAGTGAGTTGATACATGTTAAGAGCTAACACTGCCTGGCATCTTGTATATGTTGTATATACATTGGCTATTATCTATTTAGCATGTATTTTGTACGAAGCGAGTGGTTCTTGGCCCTTGGCCTATTAGGGAAGAAAGACTTTAATCAATTAATCTCACAAACAGATGTAAAGTTGTAAAAGTGAGAGATACCAAAGAATGACCCAGCCAGGAGGCTCAGGGAAAGCGTACTTGAGAAAGGAAGAGTTAATTCAGGTGGAGAAGGGAAGAACAAACATGTGCAAAGGCCCTGTGGTGGGAGGGAGCTCAGGGATTATAAGAAACTGCAAGAAAGCCGGCACACCCAAAATACAGGGAACAAGGGATTGAGACAAAGCTAGAGTGTTGAGTAAGGGAAAGACCATGTGAGAGCCTCACATGCCAATGCTTTTGTCTATATCCTAAGACCAGAGGGCAGCTACTCAAAGGTTTTAAAAAGGTCTTTGGTTGCAATGTGAAGATTAAGACTGGAAAGAGAGGAGCAGATGCAAGGAAACCAGTTAGGAGGCCATTGCAATAATCCAGATATGAGCCGATACTTGTAGAAAGGAGAAAGGTAGAAGGAATAGTGGAAATAGAGATAGGTATTGAACTTGGTAATTGATTGGAAGGAGAGGGAGGTGTCACTGGTGCCTGCTAGATTTCCGGATGGTGATGCCATTTGCAGTGTTTCCCAAGTAGGAGGAATTGGAGGCCATGTGGTTTAGTGAATGTGGAGAGGTACACAGGGGCTTCAGGTTGTATTTCTTGAGCTATGCATGGAGTCCATGGGTTTTAATATGCTATTCTCTATAACAGGAATATTCATGTCCAATGAACAAATTCTGAAATTAAAGAGAGAAAGTGGATTTCAGTCTTACTCGGCCACTTCCTGCTCTCTGATCCTGAGCAAGTTACTTAACGTCTTAGCCTTGTGAAATGGGAGAATCTCTGCCATACCATTGGGTGATCTGAGCATGAATGGGAGTTGGGAAAGTGCTCGGTGCAAGTGTCTTATGACGGGAGATGTTCACCAGTATCTGTTAAACAATGAATTGGTGAATGGTTAAGATCAGATGGCATTCTCCAGCTCAGTCCCCCCACTAACCCATGGTGCTTATGTGTGAGGAGACTGGCTGCGAGGGGAGAAGCAATCACGCTATGACCTGATGCCTTTTCCTCCTGAGCAAAGCTGGCTGACCTCAGAGGGGTACATACAACTCGTCCTTATGTCCCGTGAGAAGTGATGGTCTAGCTTTGAAAAAGGCGCTTTAAAACTTAACTTCACCGTCTTTTCCAGTGTTATCCACACTAGGGCCCATGTGTACCATTGGTCCAATCAAGCTGGTCATATAATTTCATCCTGCATAAGTGCTCAGCACTATCCTAGGCCTGTCCCCTGCCTAGGTTCCCTCCTCATCTCTCCCAGTCTTCAGGTCATGCACAAGTTTGTTTCTTTGTTCATTCATTCAACTACATGAATTTATTAGATGTACCCCCCACCTCCCAGGTTATTTCAGGTATAACATGGGGATGTGATAAAGTCCATAAGAAAGGTTCAAACCAAATGCTGTCATGGAGCTAAAATATCAGAGGAGGAGGAGAGATTTTTTTCCTGACTTGTGAGAGTACTTAGTAGACAAGGGGGCTTTCAGCTGAACCTTGAAGGACTGGAGAACTTTGTAAATATAGAGTTTGCAATGAAGCCTTCTACAACTAAGGTAGTGCACATTTATATCTTCACTTACTAACAGTGTGATACTGGGAATGCTCATTTGATATCTTTGTGTCTCAGTTTCCTCATCTGTAAAATGGAGATAATAGTTTTAGCCAGGGTTGGCTTATAGGTGTGAGACCTATACAGTCACACAGGTGCTTAGAAATGCTGGCCCCTCACTTGGTTTAATGCTCTGCTGTCACCATGTTGAAATTCTTAATAATTTTTGAACAAGGGGCCCTGCAAATTGTGTCCTGATCTTGCCTTGTAGGATTATTGCAAAGTCCTGAGAAGTTAATACATGTAAATTTCTTAGAACAGTGAGGGCCTGGCATATGATGGGGGTTCAGTAAGTGCTAGCTGTTATTATTGTTATTATCCTCTGAAAATTACTACAGTGTAGCTCACAGTATACCTCATAGTTTATTTAGCATTTAAATAACCAGCAGATATTTTTGAGTGCCTGTTCTATAAAGGCACTGGATGGGTCACAAAGATGAATAGGACAGTACTTCCTCCCCTAGTTGGTGGAATAAAGCATGTATTTTAAGCATACTAATTAGTAATAAATAATAAAATATGTCATATGATGAGTATAGAAATTTTTAAAAATAGATTTTTGGGCTCCACCTTCAGAGAATCTTAGTAGCTCTGGTGTGGGGCTTCAGAATCAGTCCCCCAGGTGATTTTATTTATTTATTTATTTATTTAAGGGGTTTTTTTTTTTTTTTTTTTGATGTGGACCATTTTTAAAGTCTTTATTGAATTTGTTACAATATTGCTTCTGTTTTATGTTTTGGTTTTTTGGTCACAAGGCACGTGGGATCTTAGCTCTCCGACCAGGGATCAAACCCACACCCCCTGCACCGGAAGGTGAAGTCTTAACCACTGGACCGCCAGAGAAGTCCCTCCGCCAGGTGATTTTAATGAACAGGCAAGTTTTAAACCATGGGCATTAACTCCAGGGAGGCCATGTGGAATAGAGGCAAAAAGCTTGGCATTGGAGTTGGTCAGGCTGGGGTTCAAGTTCTGCCATCTACTAGCTCTGTTACTTTGCATAAGTTACTTAGCTTCTCAGTTTCCTCATTTGTAAACATTAAAACCAGACTTTAAAGATTAAATTTTAAGATGGTTGAAAAGCTGAGCACATAGTGGACACTTAATTATGGGTTTTTTTCTCTAGAAGGGGGAGATGGTATCCCAGAAAGGGGCAGTCAAAGAGGGCTTCCTGGAGGAGAGGATAATCTACCCCCATACAACCAGTATGGTTTGGATGGGGAGAAGATCCTCTGGTTACACACTCTGGCAACAGCCAAGATGTTAGGTGAATATGAGAGGAGTGCTAAGTCACAAAATAATCGACGGGATTTAGCGGCTGATGAGAGACAAAGGAGAGAGAAGAATGAAAGGTGAGTCCTAGGTCCCCAGCCTTGAGTATTTTTGAGAGTAATCATTTTAAAAACAAGATCATGTATAGGAGCTGAGTTGGTGCAGGAAGGTGGGGTAGAGGTTAGGGGAGGGGTCGTGTGTATCCAGTTTTAGAAACGTTTAGTCTTTCATGTCATAAGGGGACAATCAAGGGAAACTGTACTTTTTTTTTTGGCTGGGCCGTCCAGCTTAACAGATCTTAGTTCCCTGACCAGGGATTGAACCCGGGCCCCCGGCAGTGGAAGCTCTGGGTCCTAACCAGTGGACCACCAGGGAATTCCCAGAAACTGTACATTCTTGATTGGGATTTGGGAGAAAGGCTGGTGCTTGGGAAAGAAGAAGTTAGAAGTCAATAGA